TTTAACTTTTTTTCTTTCTTTTTTTTTTTTTTGTTGAGACGAGTTACACACAGACTGTGAGTTATCGCTACTTGTGCTTCCCCACTGCGTAGATGAGAGGATCTCACGTTTCAAGGTCCAATGCGACACAATTGCAACATGTCATTTGGGAGTGGCAAGGACTTTACATTTTTCATTTGCGGTAGGATAGATGCGAACTTTTCCCGGAGTGTACTAACCACCTGGATGAATAGACCCACCAACGGTGGTGACGCGTTTGCCGAGACCGCTAATGTAATTGGTTGTCCATGAAAATAATTCGATAGGACAGTATTGGGTTGCGCACATAAGTTGCACTTTCAGTTTATAACTTGAAACTCCACTCTGTCGTATGCAACAGTATACTTGAGGCTGTCGTTGGGAAGTACAAACGCCACCTTGCCCGCTTTCTCAGACCTCACAGTTGCACCGCTAGTGAATATGCACACGCGAGCAGTATCTCATACTTCCCTGCGACTCATACAAGGGTGAACAGTTACACGCAACGAATCTTTTGGCTGCGATGTAGCCCAAAAGCGTCCATGATGTGTCAACAGCTCTCGGTCGCCATGACAATAGGAGCGGATTACACTTGTCGTAGCCTGGGGACCAGTCCTGTCCTTTACACGTTTATAACATGCATGAGAGTGAAGAATGAGCCGCCCTATATCGCAATTAGATATTAGTCATGGCGGCCAGCCAACGTCACCCATGGCGCAAAGACTTGAGTCGCTGATTCAAGGGTAAGGTCATGGGTTCAGGTTCAGAAGGACCCGGTGGGTATGCGCTACTGACGAGTCCCGATATGACGGAAAGCCCTCTAGCACTTTCCTGGATATGTGGTAGCTGTTTGGCTGGGCCTAGCCGCGACAAATCTTAACAAAAATATTGCACTTATGTCTGAGATGAACGCGGAATCGAAGTGCACAGGGGAACGAAGAAGACAAGATTGGTGTGTTTGATCCAAAGTAGGTACTACTGCGTCAACCGTCAATGGTGTAGAAGTACCAAGGAAGCCAGAATGTAACAAGCCAACAGCGGACCATACCAATGTTCCCAAAAAAGGAAAACTCTTGGGAGCCACAGATATCTGTGCACTCGGAGTAGACACACAAACAGCGCGCACCATGCAGACTTCAAGAGATGTTTTAAAGACGAGTGAAATGGTTAGCGGTCAAAACTGAGGTATATGGTTTATATCTGCCATACAACCAACTCCGTTCGCACCTGAAGCCCGAGAAGATTTACTGGGACTTATTGATTGTTATAAAACACAAGCGACTGTGGTTAGGAGGCCAGGGAGCATAACACACGAATGTGACACTCACTTTTCCTAAAGTTCCAGTGATCGCATCGATTCGGTGCATAACCCTGTCCCGTTCGGCCACTCCGGCTCCACGGGCGCCATACAGGCCTACGGCGTGGACCTCGTCCACAAAAGTGAGTGCATTTCTCGCCTCAGCCGCGTCAAGAAGCCTTTCCATTGGGCAAACGTCTCCTGAAGAATAACATAGGGCACAGAGGATCAGAGCAAGCAAGCCACCGTGGCTTATAACAATGTGGACACTGTCTAACGAGAGGAACATTTTAAACCAGTCAAATGGTTAGTATTCCGAGCATAGACTGAACCAGAAAAGGTGATCTGAGTTTATTAGGCACTGGAACAAAGCAAAGGAAGCACACATCAACAGTACGCTGGTACGCAGTACCGACACTTCGCAGTCGTGCAACCACCAACAGTCGCACGTAGACTAGGGATACCGTGAAGGTCCCCGGTCCCTACACAGGCTAGAACCCGCATTATTCGGATTACAAGGCAGGTTTGTGATCCTTAAGACTACGGGCCGGCCTGTCGCCCAACACCAGATGACGCACTGCGGCGTCTATTCTCCCACCATACGTGAGCAGCATTTCGCTAATGCCGATTTCCAAACATAGCTAGTATCTTAAGTTCCTCGATGTGCCGTGACCATGCATCTGATCCATAGTGGCCGAGCCACAAAATTGCAAGCTATTCCCTCTGATTTCCCGTTTATATGGTAACGAGACCGAAAGTGACTGAGTAGTTGGAGGATGGTCACACAATGCGAGCAGTAGACTGTCCGTTTAGGCAACCACCAAAACTGGCACCTATATCTAATTTATTTAACCGATCAACAACCTCCAGCGGTTGTTTTGTGATTTCGCGAAACGGCAGTTCGCTGTGATAGTGTCAAGTCTATCTACCGAAGCGAGATTGGTTACAAAGAGAGGAATGTAGAACAGTGACAAGTGTCGCGTCTGTACATACAATAAATCAAAACATATATGGCGTTCTAGCCCATTTACGGAGTATGCAGACGTAACGCACGAATGGTTAGATGACGTCTGTCGGTAGTAGGTGGAGTAATCGGTGTTCGGGTTTAGAACCCAGAACTATGCGCGCCAAGGAAGTTTGTCCAAGTAATTAATCTTTCTTGCTTCTCCGGGTGCGGATCACACCACTTACATGCCCTTGAACGCTTCAGGACCAGCTGTCTGGTCCTCATCGAGACCATGCAAGTCATTGAATTTACAATACTACTTGATGCTTTCGCTTAGTTCACTCTTGAAAACGAGATTATTCACCAGCTCTACAGTATGACCGATATGTATGAGCTGATCCCCGTAATCCAGCCATGGCTAATACCTTTCAGCGACGCACTTGGCGCGTATATACAAAACCCTAGAATCTGTAACGCTTGTCCGGCTAACTAATCGGCAAATCGTGTTGCACATCCGACTGGATAGCCGAACAAGCAGAAAGATGCTGAGGTTTCGTACATACGCAACAAATGCGTCAATGAAAGGTACGAGTCATGGCTGAATTATGGGGATTGGCCCAAACATGTTGGAAACACCGTAGTTTCCGACACAGCGATGCGCGCGGCGCATTGACGGCATAAAGGACGGACACAGTTGCTCACCCAACTAAGTGAATAATGGAAAATGACATAAGACGACCATTCACCACTGGTACAATTACAAAGTCTGTTCACTATCTGACCTCAAGCACTCTAGACACAGTGTCCTCTAGAATCACACGGAAAAACAGCTGTTCTGTAGAAAAGTGGAAATGGCAAGAAGCTTACCGATAATGCGTTTCAGACGAACACTCCCAACGAATCAAAACCACCTTAAAACGTAAGAACACTAATACAGTAGGATTCCTAGAGTAGCAAGACCAAAAATTAGAGCAGAGTTTAGACTTCTCTTCGGGTAAACTCTCATCAGAGCCTAACATTTACACACTGCTGATTATACACCATTTTCACTTTAATTCGGGCGTTTTGCAAACCACACCGGACGTTTCGCAAAACAAATCGGACGTTTTGCAAAGCAATTTGGATGTTCCGCAAAATAAACTTTACACATTCTTGTCAGAAAATCATGAACGTTTTAGCAAGAAATGAACAATCGGGCGATGTTCAAAGCACATTTTGGTTACAACAATGCGACCGAAATGTGCAAGCAAAAAGCGATTGTGCGAGCCCCTCTTTTGATCAGGAGTGTCACCTCGATCAAAGATTTCCCCTGTCCCTGTAGCGGCCTTCTCGTGTTTTGAGTGGGTGTATGGGCGAACCTATACAGCTGCACGACTACTGCAGCAAACGCTTTGTGCTGCATGACATGACTAAGATGAACGACGGAAGACGAGATAACGCAGCTCCGACGTGACGACCGTACAAACGAACGTCATGCGCACAGAACGACATTCCCCTCAAGCTTGTTTTCGTCGACATCAAGATCACTCACGAAGTTGCTGAATTCGCAGATATCAACGAGAGCAGTGCAAGGAATAAATCTACATCATCAATACCCACAAGCAAGAGAGCACCATTACTCAGCGCAAATGTAACAGAAGCAACAGAAAGAAGCGAACCCCCGAAGTCATGCAGCGCGTTGTATAGACCGCCGAACGGCATTCGCAAGATACTGTGGTGCAGCTACAGCAGCGGCTGAGAGAGAACGGGATTCACTTGTCCGTGTTTACGGTCTTCGACGCACTCAGCAGACTGAAGATCACGCTAAAGAAATGCCACCACGAATTAGACCGTGACAACAGTGCCCGATCACCGCAAGTCGGCAGGCCTACGCTCTTGACTTCTAGGTACACGTGCCGCATGACAAGAGCAAATGTTTTTAATGGATGAAACCGGGTTAAATCTCCATCTGCGGCGGACGCAGGCTCGCTCAAGAAGAGGGACGCGCGCGAACGTTCTCTTGCCCACAGTCAGAGCCTGTAGGGTGCAGCTGATTGCGGTAATGAATAACCAAGGGATCATTCACTTCAAAATGATTACTGATGGCATCTGCAGTGGTGTAGTTCTCCATTTTCATCGATGAACTTGTGGGGCGGCTACGCTGTAGTGGTGATGAACGGCGCATACCTCATCATGGACAACGCGCGTATTCACATGCCAGATGATCAACGGAGGAATCTGGGCTCCACTAATCAGCTGAATTTTTTGTCGCCCTACTCGTATACGCCGAACTTTGTGGACCATGTGTATTCGAAGACGAAAGCTTCGGCGAGACGCCTGTTGACGAACCCGACACCTAAGCAGTCGCTAAATGCGGTCATATAAGAGAGCATTGGGATGGTTACCCAGCAGGACAGCAGCAACTATGTCCTCAATATTATGCTGAACTTGACAAACGTGGCATCCGGACAGCCGTACATCAACTGAATGCCTCTATTAGTTAAACGATTTTCTTGTCAATACACCTTATTTTACAGCGCGTGATTATCTATCCAAATGAGTAAGTTAATACAGGAATCATTCTGTTACAAGAAAGCTGGTTGCATGCTGATGTGGAAACCGGGGTAATTCAACTCGATGGTTTGTTTCCCATCTGACCGCCCCGGGAAACCCCAGTTTCTTGGTGGTGGCGTTATAACTCACGTTAATCAACGTTGGTGCAACACAGCAATCATAATATTTACGTACTCAACAATTTCTATAAGTTGCAATTTAGTTGAGTGCAAACCGAAGTTCCTAAGTGGCTTTCGATCAGTTTTCGTTGGAAACGTATACATTGCTCCTGACACATCTGCATCAGAGTTAAAGCTTTTGAAGACCAACTTTCTTCAACGCTACTGCTTAAATTAGATTGTTCTATCTGTATTGTTGCTGGCGAACTCAATAGAAAGGATGCAGCAATCTTAAAGACACTTGGCTTGGTAGACCTAGTGATTGTTTCGACCAGACAAGATGCCCAGTTAGACGCTGTGTTCACAAATAAACGACAATTATTTACCATACAAAAGCGAGCTCCTTTGAGCAGCTCAGACCATTGTATTTTAAAACTGTGTTCAGTATTGTACAACAGATTTAATTTTTTAACACTGACCAGATGGCCTTACAAGGTTATCAAACGGCGAAATTGCTCCTTGGAAAATATCACGAGGCTTCAGACGATGTTTTCATTAACTGACTTTTCGGTCTTTAACGATGAGGACCTGTTGCTCGAATATGACCATCTTACAGACTACATCAAATATTGCTTTGACGTGTTGCCCAGTTGAAACGATCTATCTAAGAGAAGATAGATTTGCCTCATCACTACTAAAGCGACTTCGAAGGATGAAAGAATGGGCCTACAAGTGCAAGAATGCTACCTGTGTCAAAAGCCTAACCACGGCAATTAAATCCGAGATAAAAAGATTAAACCAAGTATATATCGAAGCAGTTCTAGGCAACCATATCTGTCGAGATTTATGGGGGCTTCTGAAGCGGCTCTGTGGTAAGAGCGTTTGCAGCCGGAGAGGTGAAGAGGATGTGGATAAACTGAATTCGGAGTTTAGTTCCGCCTCACTAAGCTCTTTCTTGCTCTCTTTCATTGGCTCAAGTCCAGCCGCGCCCTTCGAGCAAATCAACTTTCACAAGGAACGCTAAAGAGTAAACGCAAACAAAGCTTGTGGTCCGGATGCCCTTTCATCATTAGCTTTGAAGGAGTGTGCTGATTCTCTCACACTGCCTCTGACAGACTTCTTTAACAAATGCCTCACTAAGGGTGTGATCCCGGACATTTGGAGAACGGCCAGTATTACTCCAGTACCAAAAACTGGATCTCAAAAGTATCGCCCAATTGCATGTACATCTGTGCTCCTAAAGGCTTTCGAAAGATTGTTAATTCCGCAGATTTTTTCAGCCGCTCCTGAAGACGCCATCTACCAGTTTGCGTATAGACCCCAGCGCTCCACATTGCATGCAGTGGCATATGTTGTACATTCTATAGCCTCCGCATTAGATCAAAACGGTAAATCCGTACGGCTTCCTGAATTATTCATATGTCATTGGAAGCCTGGATAGGTCAAGGTTGTTAAACCTGCTATCCGAAAATGGAGTTCACCCTGGTGTGTGTAATCTGTTAAATGACTATCTTACAGATCGTACTCACTTCACCATGTTGAACGGCAAGAAATCCTCTGTCTTCCGTGCCGACTGTGGTGTTCTACAGTGGCGATCCTATCACCCTTTCTATTTTGCATGTATGTTGAACATCTCCCTATACAAACCACGTTTATAGGGTGTAAATATCCTGATGATGTCGTGCTGAGATGTACGTCCCCCCATTAACCAGGATTCCTCATCACTTCAACGGGGGTTGGAAGATCTGGTGGAATGATCTTCATCCAGATCTCTTACGCTTGATGCTTCATAATGCAGGGATGTAATATTTTCTTTTCTACTTGGCGACAAGTTGCAGTCCCTCATAGCTTCCTCCCCCACACTTACTGTGAATGAAAATCCCATACCCAGCTCTTACACCGTCAAGTATCTCGGCGGTTTTTGTCCCAGAACCTTTCTTGGCCCGCGCGCGTCTGTAAAACTTTTCAAAAAGTCAGAAGCCTTTCTTATTATGTCCTCAGACTTAAGGTGCTTTTAGTACCTCGTACTTTACTGTTCAGGCTTGTGACCTCTTGTACTATTCCCCCTTGGCTATACTGCTCTCCTGTCATTTTCCCTGGACTGCTTCAGAAAGACAACATTTTATTGATGCGATCTATAAAGGACATTTCTAGATGTAGCGGTTTGTCTACAGATTCTTTAGTTAATTTGATCATTTCTAGACATCTTGATGCCTGCAATGATTTCTCTTCTAAAGTACTAAGTGATCGATTTCATGCACTTTACAATGATCTTTCCAAAACGCTCTCTTTCTCTTCTACTCGTTCGAAATTCAGAATTTTATTCTCCCGCACGTCATCGTATCGTAATACTGTTTTGCCTTATCTCTCACGTTTGCTTGTTGATCCAGCGAAAGTCACTAACGTGCTGCGCGAGCGCTTGTTGGAGTAACAGTTCTGCATTTTTCCCACTTTTCTACCCAAGCATGTATATTGATATTATCATCCAGGTGTCCGCAGTGGTGGTGTAAATGCTGCAAATGAACCCATTAGGGCACATAAAGTTTATTTTGACTTGACTTGAAACTGCCAGGGTTGGCAAGCATGATTAGGTAATTTACCGAGAATTAGATAATGCAGTCATACGGACTTGCGATTGTCGTGAAACGTTTGTCACTGTCCAGGCCGTAGTGGCACTTCTTCGGCGTTACCTCAGAGTGGTGAAAATTTAAGACACGGATAAATGTATCCCGATCACTCTCAGCCACTGCTGCTGTCCTTGGAATGTGCTTTGTCTGACACGGCAAGAGTAGAGAGTAGGCCAATCGCCAGTAAAGAAGAACGAACAGGGCGAGTACGTGAGTTCCTTCCGCGGACAAAACTTGAACCGGTGCGACTTTAGTTACATTGTATAGATTGCACTAACGCATGCCCGTTCATTCATGGGTAGTGATTAGAAAACAACACTAGATTGTTGAACGACGTCTTTCCGGTGCGTTGTAGGTCGTGTACAAAGAAGTCGAGAGTGTAGGCTTGCTGACACGTGATGGTTGGGGCACTGTTGACACTGTGGCATTTCTAGCGTGATCTTCAGTCTGCTGAGTGCGTTGAAGACAGTAGACACTGACAAGTGGATCCTGTTCTCTCTCAGCCACTGCTGTAGTTGCACCACAGTATCTTGCGGATGCCGTTCGGCGGTCCATTCAACGCGCCGCATAATGTCGGCGGTTCGCTTCTCTCTGTTGCTTCTTTTACATTTGCGCTGAGAAATGGTGCTCACTTGCGTGTGCGTATTGATGATATACATTTATTCCTTGCACTGCTCTCGTTGATATCGGCGAATTCAGCAACTTCGTGAGTGATCTTGATGTCGACGAAAACAAGCTTGATGAGAATGTCGTTCTGTGCGCATGACGTTCGTTTGTACGGTCGTCACGTCGGAGCTGCGTTATCTCGTCTTCCGTCGTTCATCTTAGTCATGTCATGCAGCACAAAGCGTTTGTCGCAGTAGTCGTGCAGCTGCATAGGTTCGCCCATACACCCACACAAAACACGAGGAGGCCACTACAGGGACAGGGGAAATCTTTGATCGAGGTGACACTCCTGATCAAAAGAGGGGCTCGCACAATCGCCTTTTGCTTGCACATTTCGGTCGCATTGTTGTAACCAAAATGTGCTTTGAACATCGTCCGACTGTTCATTTCTTGTTAAAACGTTCATGATTTTCTGACAAGAATGTGTAAGGTTTATTTTGCGAAACGTCCAATTTGCTTTGCAAAACGTCCGATTTGTTTTGCGAAACGTCCGGTGTTTTGCAAAACGTCCGATTTATAACGATTTAGTGATTTATAGTGTATTATATAGTAGGCGTCAAATCGGGCTGTGGATTGACACTGAGAACTGAGAACTGGTGCGAAGCAGCGAGTAGAGGTTTCTCTGTGTAGCTGCATCATGAACCAAAGAAACATTATTAGATAAGCATCAGTAAATAGCTAAGTGAACAACGAGATAGCTAACAGTGTCTGTGGGCTACGGTAGTAGTGTCGGCCGTATGAATCACTTTTGAACACACAATTCCAGCTTTATATGGTGGATGTAAACAGCATCGGCAATTGACAATAGTTGATTGCGGAAGCCTTACCAGCAGTGTTCAGGCAATGAGAGTAAAGGTTCAGATCTGATGAGAGTTTACCCGAAAGATTCTTAAGCCTACACTAATTTTTGCTCCTGGTTCTCGTTAATGAGTATCAGCACTGCTCGTGATTCGCTGGAGCTTTCTTAAGTATCGGGAGTTCTGAGCACTTGGTAAACCGTAAAACTGTTGAGAAAGAACTCAATCTGACTTACATTGGTTCGACTTTGAGGGAGCGGCAAGTCGAGGTAACATGGGACACATGGGCAGTTATGAGGCTAATATCATAATGAATTTCACAGGATGCTTTTCGGATGAACATCACACTTTGGTGAGATTATCACAAAAGGATTCCACTGAAGGATTATGATTAAACGGATCTCTTCTGCATCCATCACGCTTTTTAGAACTCACCCGTCATGGAGTGCACTGTCTCAAATACAACCAGTTTCGGGGCATCCAACGGAACTTCAGCCAGCATCGAAATGAGGTGATCCACATCGTTGTGTCGATAAATCTTCTTCGGAGCGCGGCTCGTTCGAATACCATGTATCATGGACGCATGATTGCCAGCGTCGGAGAAGATGGTCACGTTCGGTAGCCGAGTACCCAACGTGTACAAACTAGCCTCGTTTGCTACATAACAGCTTGTGAAGACTAGAGCGGCAGGCTTTCCATGCAAATCGGCCAGCTCCGCCTCGAGAGACTCGTGGAGTACAGAGTTGCCAGAGATATTACGTGTTCCTCCAGAACCCACTCCATGTGATCGAATGGCATTTCTGAAAGTAGAACAAGACATGTATTGCACTAATATCACCAATTCCCGTAATCGTATTTCCAATCATCTCATATTGCACAATTTCGCTAATATCTACTCTAGTACGTGGAGAAAAATCCCGACAACAAAGAAGAAAAGCTGACTCCACTTGGAGTTACTGATGCGTAGGAGGATTCTAAACTGTAGTTTGCTGGTTCATCCCAGCTGGTCACAAAACAGACAAAGGAGGCAGCGCTTCAAAATTTGGTTCCGAGCGCCAGGTGTGGTCTACATAAGTTAGCGAAAACAGCATTTTAGACATGTAAAACAGTGAACATGTCAAATCAGTGCCAATGTGACAGTCGGTTGCTACTGATGAGGACACTGATGTGCACTTGCATCATCGTGATCCTGCTGAGTTTACAGAGATCGATTTGGTGCCGGTGACTATGTCAAGTTACTAGGCGCGAACATCGTTCATCGGTTGAAGGTAAACGCTGTACAACGAATCAATGGGCACTGCGTTGCACGCTAATGTTCTTGCGGAAATCGTTAATTCTTCGTGTTGTATTGTATTTTATTGTATTTAACACTTGCTCAATAAACATTTGGCAGAGTGCCACAACACACCAGTAACGATAACGAAAAGGAGAGTCAGAAGAAGGGATGCAAAGTCCCATGTGCTGTGTGGGCAGAGCTTCCCGGTTGCCCAGGCCGAGAAAGTGGGTTGACTTAAGGGGCCCCACCCCGAGCCTTTGGTCTTAAAGACCTGACCCGCAAGGCAGCGGGACGATTCACGAAGACCGTTGACAGCCAGGTGGCTCATTCGCCTTCTTGTGTTCGGGAGCAGTCCACAGAGAAGTCGGTGGCCAGCGAGGTTATTCATCCGCTCTCCGTTGGATACTCACCCCAAGTTACAGAAGTGAGTGGTCAGTGACCCTATAGCCGGTCACATTGGCTTTGACGCAGCGCCGTACGAGCACTTGTGGTATTTACTGGAGAACCAGGTGACCAGCCCAGAACTTCCCACGCTCTGAGACGCTGCCGCTGATTGTCCGCGACTGCTTATTCATCTCGCCTGCAAAGCAGACGAGACTTATTCGCAGTTACTTCCACAAGGAAGGCATTCCCCGATTTGCAATCTGGGGACGCATTCGATAGAGTACAGCTAGTGTTACATATGTACGTCTTACCCACCCGACTCTGGAATGGATACCGCCTCAGTGGACTAGTCAACAGCCAAGTTGTTCGCAGATGTCACATTTCTGGAGCAGGTGTCTTTCGCAACCATCAAAGACTGCAGTCATTGACCAGTGAGTGTGATTTTTTTAAAAATGATGAATATATTTGATGCCATATTCTACATAGCATTCCGGCTACAAACTATTCCGCGACGTCCTTATACGGTTTTGAACTGTTTGGCAGCCCTGATCAATTCATGCTTAAGTTGCCCCTTGTTACTGCAGTGAAATAACCCAAAGAGAGTAACTGGGGTATGTGCGCGACATTTTCATACAGAGCGTTTTGTGGTGTTGGTATCGGTTCGAATTGTGTACTGGGAACCAGGATGGTCGATGCGTGGAGCGGCGACGACCACCGAGTAACCAACATCCATTTTCTACCTTATAATTTCCCATTTTCGTATTTCTACCACACATATTAATCGGGTAGCTCAGTGGTTTTCGCGTTAGATGAACGGCTGATCGAATGCCGGGAATCACCCGATTGTGACTCTGCATTCATCTGAGCAACAAGTCTGCTTGCTCATCTGCATGTAATAGTCGGCAATGGAGTGGCAACAACCTCCGCCCTGGGTGAGAGGAGTTGTGGACAGACGGCAAGGTGCAAGCCCCGTGTACACAATGGTCCTGTCTACGGTTAAACCTAGTCAAAGATCAAGTGACGCAAACTGAAGAAACAGATAACGAAACAGTGTTACGCTTTTAATTGGCCGTTTGACCCGGAGAAACACTCACATAGCAGCCTCCTGAACTTTGCGATGCCAGCTCATGCCGAGGTAATCGTTGGAACACCAGATAGCGACTCGACGTCGAGATCCAGTTGAGTAGTCATCGGCGAATGGGAAGTCATTCGCGTCTCGGAGCACACGACGGAACACGCGGTATGTTGCGTCTTTCTTTTTCCGTTCTATCTCAAACGAGCAAAAGCCGACATAATCAAATCCCTTTGTCAAATCCAACTTATGTTCATTCGACGGCGACTGCGGGTAAGCGCTTGAGGGTGATTTGGAGTTGGGATAAGAGATTGCAATTCCGCTTGCTTGCCAGCCCTCAAACAACGCGCACGTCTTCGGTATGGTTAGCTCTGTGCAAAAAAGGGATTTTAGATGAGACCGGTTAGTGGTGAATGACTAAGTGGAAAGCGCACAATGTCAAAGCATGAAGGATCTCGGACAGTTGTTGAAAGATACCGTTTCGCACAATATTCTCGATTTGGTCACTAACAATTCAATTCTGTAGCGGCTCTCTTAATGTGCAGCACTAGATCAAATCACCTATTCATGTGGAAAAAGGCAAACTGAGTCCAAAGGCAAGGGCTAAAAATAAAGTAAGAGATGGCGACGATGTCGAAACAACTTTCAATGAGGAATACACTTCTGTACTATCAGCTCGAATAACTGGAGTTGGTTACTTGTGAATGAAAACGGACGAATATCAAAGTGAATACCAAGTGAGCACCATCAATCGTGCGCGGGCCAGTGATACTGCGAACCGGCGCGCACTTACGGAGGTAGATACCTTATATCGACAGCGTGATGATCAGTTCGTTGCAAATTAGCACTTGTGTAGTGTCTTCGTTTTCACTGGGGATGCAACAAACCATTATCGATCGCCGAAAGATAACTACTAGCTGCAGATAAGGTGCGGAGCAGGATGAATATGTTTAAAGTTGCTGATGCAAAGTACTGCATTCGCAACAGTATGTCACCTGCAACTTCAGGAAGCGGAAACACCAGGTTCGTTAAGACTGCGTCTTGCTTGAAAGCAATGAGGTACATTTATCCTTTTATCCAGTTATTTGCGCGTATGATTTAGGCGCCGAGTTTTGTGTCTGACCTTGTACACGACTTCAAGTGCGTTGGACGTCCGGCTTGTAGCTTTCGGACACCTGACTCGAGTTTTCATTCTAACATGAAGCTGGCCGCTCCTATAGCATCCAAACCAGTGTACAGTAGCGTGCGGCTGCTGCAGGCCATCGAAGCGTCAATACTTTGTACTTTATGAAACACAACACGCTTATGCAAATTGGAATGACACAAGCTGTTCAAATGTTTCTAAAAAAAGGATGGACAAACTCTACACATACAGAAAAGCCAGGGAGGGTGATGTTATCTTTTCGAGATAAGTCAGCAGCGGGTGTTCCAACTGGCTCATGGAGACCCTGTGCACACATGCATCACTTGACCAGGAGGGATGACTATGGGTCGTCATGACTCAGAGTCATTGACGACCAAATTGCGTGCCGTTGGTCCGTCTCGCCTTCCGGGTTGGAGTCCACGTGACTCACCTTGTGCTGAGCTCGAGAGTTTACAGGACATGGCTCGCAGTAGACACCAGTGGCGCGTCTGCTGCCGTCTCCTAATCGGATTGTCTGTTTAAAGTATGTTTGGTGCTGAGTTATCTGCGGGGTAATGGCTGATTATGACGCGTGGCAGTGAAAGCCGCAAGGAAGCTGTCTCGTCCGATGCCACCTTATCTTTGCACGATAGCCAGCTATTTGTGACGGTATGTTGTCTACACAAGGTGTAGGCGCCTTGTCCCTGAATGTTTGTTTAGGGCATTAAGATTTTCAGGTAAGTCCCCCTTCTCTTCCTCTTCTTATTCTTTATTTCATAGGTCCTCATGGTTGCATGGCGGCGAAGCATCAGTTCAAATGGCTGATGTACTGCTATTGATGATGATGATGATGTCATGGCTCAGTAGCTAACTGCCACAGGGCGAGCATAATCATTCTTCTCTATCGATAGTGGGGCGCATTCATAGCAGCTCTTGAATCCGGTACTTTCGCTAGAAACCCAGAAAATAATGTCCTGATGAAATCCGAAGCAAGTTTGTTAGTCAGTTAGTGTTTTACCTTGAAGTCCACCAATGAGGATTAGGAAGTCCTTCAGTTAGCGCAATACTTGAGCAGCTAACGAGCGAATTTTCAGGTGTCTTGTAGCTAATAGAATCCAGGAAATTTCAGCCAGGTCATTCTCTCATCCATTATTTAATTCGACCATATCTTTTGGCTATTCATACTGTTCGTCGGATGTGCGTTTCCAAAATGCAGACGACAGGGCTGGTGCCCTGAGCAGCCATCGTTCGACAGCATCGGAAACTAACCTAAGCAATTCATCATCATCATCATTACACATTAGCTGAAGGTGGAAAACACCTCAGCAATTGTGCCGCAATACAAAAGACAATAAAAGGAAAACAAACAGTGGCACGCCCGCTGAGTCCCCAGTAACGGATGGACATCGTTCCGGAGAGCTAACAGCTGGCTGCTGTAAAGGAGAGTCATATTATGCCTAACAAGTGAGATCGTGATTGGAGGGGGATGCTAAGCAGGAGGGGGATGGAAAAAGGAACTCACAGCACAAACCCCAATGGGGCCGGCTCCAAGCCATATCAGCAAGTGTGTCCAACCAAACGTGTTCACCGTCCTTAGGACCCCAGCCGGGCAGTCGGGACGCACCAACCGACGCCAACTTCGAAGTGAGGGTTTTCATTTCTCTCGACCAAGTCATCACTTGGTCTCCCCTCCTCCTCGTTCAACTGCACCCACAACGCGCAAACAATGCACGTCGCGGGAGTCGGTGTGCTGGCATGCGCAACACGTGGCCCAGCCATCGGAGCCTGGTGCGTGATATAATGGTGCTGAGCGGTTCACTTGCTCTTCCTGCACCAAATACACAACGTCGAACACGCTCATTGCTCACGCGATGCTCCCACCAGACATGAGCTAAGCTGCGAAGGCAGCGATGATCGAATATGACAGCCTAGGCAATTACTGATGGAATGCGCCCTACTGACGATTCCCGAACGGATGAAACGGCCATCCAATTTTGATGGATGTGCGGCTTTGAGGAATTTTCTACGAAAATTCGGTTCAATTCCCACTTTTCATTACCCTCACTTACTAGCCACAAGTAACGTTCGATCCTGATTGAGCTTGATTCACGAGGAGCTACAGTTAGCCATTTACTCTGAAGAATTCAGACATGTTGTGGAAAACCGCTTTAGCGCCGCCATAAGCAATTCGAAGAATCCAATGGAATTCAACTGGCATATTGGCCCAGCCACAGCCAAATATCAGTGAATTGGATAACGAAATAGACGACGCGATTTGGCTTGGATTTATTATTTTAACAGACAAAGATCCTAGTAATAACCCTTGTGACAAATCGTTATTTCAAAGACGAAAACAAGCGGTAAATTTCAAGAGGCAATATGCATCACAAGTACCTTCGGAGTGAGCTCTCTTGGTATTGTGTTGTTTTGTTACAATGCCACGGTGTTTCGATGGAGGCTGCTCGCACGAGGGGGTATTTTCAGATGACAAGGCCGAAGAATAAGGACACTTCTTTAGTAGACACTGGGAAACATCCTCTGCAAAATGAGGGGGAATTAAAAACCAGTCGGTTCAGGAGAAAGGAGCAAAATAGAGAAAATCGTACTATGTAATCAGTTCAACGCCCGGTTCGACTACTCTTCTAAGATCCGCGCGTCTAAACGCTATAGACCCGTTATCCACAATTCCAACAATAAGGAAAAGCGGAGGAAACACGACCTTGTCGACAACACTCAAAACAAAAGGTTTAATGGAGAAAAAAGATTGTCAGATGGAAAAGTAAACATTAAAAAGCGAGAAATAATATGAGGTGCCATTGTTATCTCCACAACTGAATCATGTTGTACCAACGCTATGACGTACCACAATATCCCACACATTTTCTGACTGATTTCCTTGTGCAATTCCCTCGTGTCTTTCGATATGTCGTCGGACGGCCACCCGGTGGGTTCGCATAAGGCAATAAAGTACCGAAGCTAACAACCTGACGTGGACGATCTAGGTGCGTGCTGAAACACGCCTCAGCCGACGTATGCGGCTCAGGCGCGAAGATGGTATAATGCTACACAAAGTGTTTGGTATAAAGCTAGAGAAGAGCAGCAATTGAAAGCATATGGTGGTCTTAGTAGATTTGGGCCAAGTTACGTAGGCAGAGAGAAAAGGCATCAGCAGTATGGCGGCACGCAGTACCGACGCTTCGTTGTCACGTAACCACGACTAGTCGCACATGGGCTAAGGATACTTCGAGAGTCGCCCGGTCTCCTATGCAGGCTCGAACCCACGCCTTCAGGATTACAAGGTAGGCTTGTGATCCTTAAGGCTACGGTCTGGCAGGCAGATAAGAAACAACAGACCTTTTGACGCCTCTACGAGTAGTGAGCACGTCCCTAACACAAAGTAACACACCAGTACCTGGTATAGACTCTTCGATGCTGTGCAAAAGCTAGAGGTTATATGTGGACCAGAGTACTTACGGGGAGACCAAATCTACGAAGGAACGCAGATGTGTAAAGCCAGACGCCTCAGCCCCTAAACGGACAGACGTACTACATAGTCGTGCATACTCTTGTTTACAGATAGGCAAATATACCACCGTCATTGCAAATAAGAAGCTTTGAGAGGCCACACGGACCTTACCGATGTGCGATTAACCTAATCGATGATCAGATAACCCGGAGGGACAGAAATGTCTGTATAACTGAGCTGATTCGCGACTTTTGGAAACAATAGTCGGCCGCAGCGAGAGGACACTTGCGGAGTACAAGCAAACAGTCACAATGAAACCAATGTCAAAGTGATGTGCGCTGAAGGTTCCGGTGGATATAGCGATACGACCAATGATTAGCGGGCCGCCGAAAATGTTCACAGGCGGTGTAGCAAGGTCATCGAATTTGGGTGCAGTAGATTGAGACTTCGTGTTTATGTTTCAATGATATACAACCGCAAAGTAAGGGGGATAACCTTGACAATGAAGAATGGGAAGAAAAATGCGGTAACCTAAATGTCAGGACCAACATCCTGCCGACGCGGCACGTTCAAGAACGATTGAGTGCAGTGTAGAGATAAGAACTGTCAGAGAGAAAGTAGCTTATTTGGTTTCATTTCAAGTAATGCGAGTGAGGATTAGGCTCTTTAATAGTTTCTGAGCAAACATTTCAAAAGCAAGTAACTCGCCGAAGAGTTTCAGTGGAGGACTAGACCAGAACTACAAAAGATGCTACTTTTTCAGACTCTGTCGACTACTTTTGATGCATCACATGGGAGATGATTAGCCCGTAGCTACCTGTGTAGATTGAAAACAAGCCATTTCGCCGAATGCAACCCCGGCTATTGACTCGAAAGCTCCACAGGCGTGGCAGTAATTCGGGGAGGATAGTCCAAGATGAACGAAACGCTGACATCTCGGGTACTTTGCGAGGTAAAGCGCACACCGAATCAAAGTGGGTTATTTCGGACTGTCAACCAATCTGACACAAGATGTGAATCCGAAAGATCGGATGTTAGACAATATTCTTGGCTTGGCAAACTACTGAAGGACCCCACTCATCATCATCAACAGCAGTACATCAGCCATTTGAACTGATGCTTCGCTGCCATACAACCATGAGGACCTATGAAATAAAGAATAAGAAGAGGGAGAGAAGGGGAAATTACCTGAAAACCTTAATGCCCTAAGCAAACATTCTGGGTCAAGGCGCCTACACCTTGTGTAGACAACATACCATCACAAACAGCTGGCTATCGTGCAAAGATAAAGCGGCATCGGCGAGACAGCTTCCTTGCGGCTTTCACTGCCACGCGTCACAATCAGCCATTACCCCGCAGATAACTCAGCACCAAACATACTTTAAACAGACAATCCGATTAGAAGACGGCAGCAGACGCGCCACTGGTGTCTACTGCGAGCCATGTCCTGTAAAGTCTCGAGCCAAGCACAAGGTGAGTCACGTGGACTCCAACCCGGAAGGCGAGACGGACCAACGGCACCCAGTTTGGTCGTCAGTGACTTCATGTCCCGCTGCCAAGTCAACTTCTGTCCACCTCGAGCCATGCGCCATCCTACACCTGGTAGACTGAACAAGGCCCTCCTAGGTAAGCGGTGACCAGGCATGCGTAGCACGTGCCCGAGCCAACGCAACTTATTCAGTGCCATCAGTTGTTCCAGTGAGTTAGCATGATTATCACTACCTAGTACTCGCCTACGCACATCATCGTTGCGGACACGCTGGTGCCATCCGACACCAGCAATGCTTCGCAAACAACGATGATCAAAGACTTGAAGGCGCCTCAAATCTTCAGACAGAAGGGTCCAGGTCTCACTACCATAGAGCAGAAAGGCTCTCACTATGGCCTTGTATACACGGCCTTTCAGACGGAGGGAAACTCCCTTCTGCCGCCAAAGATGACGCAGGTTCAAGAAGGCAGCTCTGGCCTTTGCAATGCGTGAGCTCACGTCAGTTTCTATACGCCCATCATTGCTGATGCAGCTGCCAAGATAAGTGAATTGATCAACCACATCGAGTTCCTCGTTAGCAAGCGTCAAGGGGTCATCAAGTGGCTGGTGGTCCTGCAGCAACACTTTGCACTTTGAAGGTGCGAAGTGCATACCAAATAATGGGACCACCCCAGACAGGCTATTCAGGGTAGATTGTGCCGCCCCAACATCGTCGAAAAGCAAGACGATATCGTCCGCATAATCTAGGTCAACTAACCTTTCACCAGGCAGCACTTCAACGCCTACATCGTTGGATTCCGTAAGGAAACACTCCATGATAGAATCCACGACGAAATTGAACAAAAACGGGGAAACCGGACAACCCTGACGAACGCCACTTGTAGTCGAAAAGCTATCCGATAGGACACCATAGACCCTGACGCGGCCTGTAGTGTTCGAGTATAGAGCACGAAGGATGTTCACATATTTCGTGGGAACACCTTTTCGCGCAAGTAATTCGAACAGAATCGATCGATCGACCGAATCGAACGCACTCTTGAAATCGAGGAACACAGCTATTGTCGGTCTGCGGTATGCGTGGCGCTGCTCTAGCACCTGCCGCAAAGTAAATATATGGTCTATACAGCCACGTCCTGGGCGGAAACCTGCCTGCTCTTCCCTAATCCGTGATTCCCGTTCCGCAGTGAGGCGACGAACGAGAATCGAGGCCAGTGATTTTGTCACAACTGGCGTTAGGCTAATACCCCTGTGGTTCGCACAGTCTGTGCGACTGCCCTTCTTGTAGACTGCCACTATAATCGATTCGCTCTAATTAGCCGGCACACTCTCTTCGTTCCAGATACGTTCGAATAGGGAGGTCAGTGCTCTGCAGAGGACCTCACCTCCATCCTTAAATAGTGCAGATGGGAGGGAATCCCGGCCAGCGGCACGAAAACGATTGAGGGCTGTGATCGCGTTTCGGACCTCGGCCTCCGACGGAGGCTCTAAACTAACCGTCCATGGCTCGTCCTGCATCACCTGAGTAGGAAGAGGTCCGGGAGCAGGGGGCCAGCTGAACTGATGTTCAAAGGGTTCAGCCCAACGAGCCATACGGCGCTCCTTATTGTGTATCAGCGCACCCGCGCTGTCCCTGATTGTCTCACTGACGCTTGGTTTCCTCGGACCAGTGGTGCGTATTAGCTGGAAGAGCTTCCGGTAATAGTCTACTGCTCCTGCCTCCTCCGATTCTTGAGCCCGACTGGTCCACCAGGCTTCCTTGTCAGCACGTAGGCTCCGCTTTAGTTCACGCCTAATAGCCCGTCTGGTCACATTGTGTTCAGAACCAGTCGGGAGATGTCTTCTAGCTTCCAACAGGTTCACGGACCTCTCGGATATTCAGTGACTGGTGCGGTGACGACTGACAGTGCCACAAACAGATGCTCCTGTGTCGTGCATAGCGGCCGAGATCCTATTCCATTGAAGTTCAGTGTCATTAGGACAAGACAGCAAAAGTTCGCTGTGCAGTGTTTTTTGATAGGCTTGCCTGACCGAGGGCTGGGACAATTTCTCCGTTGCCAATCGGAGGACACGCTTTGTGCGCCTTCCGGTAAAGTTCATGGAGAAACGACAGCGCATCAAGGCATGATCAGAGTCGACACAGGTACTCCTGTACGAGCGGCAATCCAGAATGGAACCGCGCCACCTGTAACTTATGGCTATGTGGTCAATTTGGGTCCATCGCTGGCCAGCTACAGGTGGACGCCAAGTGGCACTTCGGCGCCCACTGTGTCTGAAAGCAGTGCTACTAAGAAACAACTGGTGCTCCGCACACAGTTGCAGCAGACACTCGCCGTTCTCAGTCCGTTCGGAGTTAAGTCCATAATTACCACCCAGCTGAGCTTCTGAAGAGCTCAGACGCCCTACTTGTGCGTTCGTATCCCCCGCAAGTACTATAATATCTGAACCAGTAGCACTGCGTAGTAGCGCGTTCAGTTTGTGATAGAAAGTGTCCTTGACTGCATTAGAACTGCAGTCGGTGTGAGCATAAACGGAAATCACAAACAAACAGCGTTTTGTTTTACTTCGCGAATTCACCTTAGCTGATGTCATCAAACGGGCTGCACATAAACGGCTGTTCACCGGAATCCAATCAATCAACGATGACTCAGCCCTGGAGCTGAGAATGATACCTACACCAGCTTGACCCGTGAGTGCTGCATCGGCGTCTCCGGATGCGTGCAACCAATAACGAGAGGATAAGCCGGGTGCAGTCAATTCAATAACCCCGTTAGGGTCATTAATCCTAGTTTCGGACACACAACGCACATCAACACCCAGTGTGTCCAAGGTGCGTGCGAGTGCAGCCTGCTGACCTGTTTGTCTTAGAGTGCGGACGTTAAATGTCGCCATAGAAACGGGACAGCGTGGCCTTATAAGGGACTTTCGCCGATAGGCGTCCGATAGGTGCTGTGGGATGGTGGCTGCAGATGGTTCTACTCCAGTGGCACTTCGGTTGCTGTCAATTAAGCTGTGAATTATAGAAGGAAGGTTAGTAATGGGGGCCGGGATGGGAGTAAGAGAAAAAGGTGGAAAAGAAAGAAGGGAGGCGCCAGCAGTAGCATGTTTTCGCTTATCCGCCCTGCTGTATGCAGCAGATAAGGCGACCGTTGATAATCTGCGCGGCGGCCGATGCAGGATGAAGTTTATGTTTGAAGAAAATGTCATGGTTGTATGTGGGCTGGGATACTGCCAGGGCGCCCAGACCTAGACAAGAGGACGATTAGGGTCCTCATCCAAAGCCTTTGGCTCAAAAGCCTGTCCGCAAGGCAGCGGGATGGCAGTGATTTAGTTTTACAGAAATGGACGCCATCCCATTTCAAACCCCCAACCTGGAGGACCAGGAGACTGAGATTGTCTGACCTCTCACCACTGACCAACCTGGTAGGAGTAGCTCTCAAGATTCTCGGAGGCATCACCCAGTATGGCTCAATGGGTCAGTGATGTACGCAAACCGTCGCGCCACTAGTACTAGCCAGCAAGTGATGGGCGCATCTCATTGGATGGCCTGTAAAAAGGAAACCTTAGGATAAAGAGGGACAAAAAATGAGGAACAGAAGGAGAGGGAGACTGGTTGTCCAATCAAATAGAGTGGAAGTTTTGTTCGACGTTCCTCGCGTTTATTATATGGTTCGTAAACTCGACTCACGATGCGGCAGGGAGCAGATCCCGCCGAGGAGTGCAACTCAAGAGTTCAAGGATGATGTGATTGGGTTAGTCAGGAGCAATCTGACTGGGGGTACACAATGTTTTTCGGCCCTGCTAAGCGATACAATGGTTACATAAGTCAATCATAGGTGGAATGTTGTGCGTGTGCAAGATGGGTTATAGGAAATCATTGAGCAAGTAGTGCGCTCTCTTATTTGTAGAGACAAACCGTGTCGTTAATGGTTAAAGGAAACCGAGTTGAGCTAGTGATAGGCAAGAGGTTGTCCCTCATTGCCGAGATTTGATGAGATAAAACCACTAATAACTCCCGTCGGCCGGTGGCCGAGTGGTCTGCACGTTTGCTTTGCAACCATAAGGTCACCGGTTCGAATCCGCGTAGGGGTAGGCGTCTTCGCGGTATACTCAGCCCGCGCGCGACTGGTGGTGGTCACACGGCAGCGAAGCGTTGTTACGGCGTACAGCTGACACATTATTATTTTTTATTTACTAATAACTCCCAAACCTTAAAGCCAGAGGACGTTGGGGAGAAGTGCGTCTAACATTTAGCTGGTGTCTATTACCCCTGGCCTACCGTATCTGGAGGACTTAAACTAATGTGGTATAATGGACCACGACTTTAGGTTAGGGTTTAGCTTCAAGGAGAACTACAGCAATCATCATCGTCATCATCACCACCATCACCATCATCATCATCATAGACAGTAGTACATCAACCACTCGAATTGATGCTTCGCTGCCGTACAGCCACAACAACCTATGGAATGAAGAATATGTGGGAGAGAAAAGGGACCTAGCGTAAAACTTTAATGCCTAAGGCAAACGTTCAGGGTCAAACAGCGTATCACTTGTCAACAACATACCGCCACAAACAGCGGGCTATCGTGCAAATATAAAGCAACATCGGCCAGAGAGCTCGCTTGCGGCTTTCATTGCGGCGCGTCATTGTCAGCTATTGCCCAGCAGATAACAACACCAAACATACTTTAAACAGGCAATCCGACTAAGGGACGACAGCAAACACACCACTCGTGCTCTGTAACGTCCCGAGCCAAGCGCAATGCGGGCCACGTGGACTCCAGAAAGTCAAGTGGATTGGAAGCTATATTAGTGCCGCTAAAATAGAAGATGAGATGACGAACCGTGTGGCAAAAGCCCCGGAGGAGCGTTTGCCAATCTCCGCCATCTGTGACGTCGCGCGACATCATTCTCGCCGAAAACCACGGAAATATCAATCAAACAATAAGTAGACACAAACCGAACAAAACCAATGACGAAAAAGCAAATGAAAAAGAAGCGTCTCAAATAAAATTCAACGAACTGTGGCGTACTTACTGCAGACACTAGAGTCTTCTGTGGTGGGGATAACGTTGGCGCTAGCAAGTGAAGAAAATCGGACTGCTTTTAGACCGGCCTTCTCAAACAGCCGGCTAGCAAACGGGCATTTTGGTATAAGTGTAGCAAGTTGTTGGGCATCCTTCTGAATGGTTGCCAGAGGTATCTTCTTTAGAAAAGGACAAGAAAGCATCCTGTGTATGGATAAGAAAGCAAAAGCGGTCTCAAAAGTACAAATATATGTAATCAACAGTCCAAGAAATAGACATGGAGTCGTTGGAAAAAAACATTGGAAGCAAAGGGAATTACAAAATTATCTAAAAGGTTTCTGCAAGTATGCGAACATAGCCCTTTGAAGCATGTGGACGTTACAGAAGATAATTTTGAATAGGGAAATGCGTTTAGGCTACTCTGTAGTGACGACTAATGTACACCACGCGGGTGGTGCCAGTAAACGTGAACAGACTATTGCTTGAGCACATACAAACTGCTTCAGAATGCCATACAACTTCGAAGCTTGTGGTAGCCTTGATCAGTAACAGCAAACGGACTGTACAGTGCTATCCATGGAAATTAAATCAACTGACGTGGAGTTAGCTATGACGCAGGATGTATGCTCCGTGGTTAATGCAACCGCATTTTCAGAAGCAGTCAACCAAGTGTAGGAGACGTCGGTAGCATGGGACTCGTAAATTCTGACCTCGGGGACGTAGCATCCATCAACACCCAGGGTATTTAGTGTGCGCGCGAATGCAACAGGTTATCCTTTCTATCTGTACGGTTGTAAAACCTGGCCGCTTAAAGCAGCGGACCTGAAGAGGCTAGTTACGTTCGACCACCGGTGCCTTCGTAATTTAGCTCACTTCTGGTGGGAACACCGCGTGAGCAACGAGTGTGTTCGACGCCTTGTTTGCGGCACAGGAAAAGGAAATGAACCGCTCAGCACCGTCATTCCACGCATCAGGCTCCGATGGCTCGACCACGTGTTACGCATGCCAGCCCACCGACTCCCGCGACGTGCGTTGTTTGCGCGCCGGGGGTGTGGATGGAAGAAGAGGAGGGGTGGCCAAGCGATGACTTGGTCCAGAGGAATGAAGGACCTCACTTCGAAGCTGGCCTCGGTTGGAGCGTCTCGGCTCCCTGGTTGGGGTCCGAAAGACGATGAACACGTCTGGTTGGACACACTTGCTGATATGGCTAGGAGCCGACCTCAGTGGCGTTCATGCTGTGAGTTTCTTTGTCCTACCCCATCCCTCTTAGCCTCCCCCTCTACCCTCGATCTCATTATTTAGCCTTATATACTTTTGCATAGTATTTTTTGATGCACAGTAGCCGGTAGGTAGCTTACCGGAACGATGCCCATCCACTGTAGGTCTTCCAACGTACATCTAACAGGAAGTGAGGCAGTAGATTTCACTGCGTTACGGAATATCACGCTGCTAACCATAAATGAATCACCTCGACGGGTGTATTTACCTCACGGGATTTTGTATTTATAGGAATAGCAGCCAGCATAGTCGCAGGCAATGAGACTGGGCGCGTAATCAGACGATGTTGAAGCAACTGCAGCGTACGCCTTATGTTCCAGCTTGTTTAACCCGTCATTATTGACTCTTTTCGAACTGACCTGTAGAGTACGGGCAGTTTGGTTCCAATTTTTCCTTCGTCCAACAGGCGCAAAAGCCCGTGGCAACATTGATGTCAGCCTCCACGACCTGTACACCCGGAAGACAAGGTGAGGTGTTTGGAGTAGGCAACCCCCCCCCCAGTTTGATTAGCACACGATGGGGACATCTGGTGTTTTTCATCCGCTGCCTGCACATCGTTAGATGAAGCTGAGTTACAGCAACAGGTGGTGTCTCCAGCTCAGCAGCTTGTACCTTGAGCGTGTCCTCACCTCTCTGTTTGGAAGCGGAGGGTTTGCGTGCTTTTCTTGCGCTCTTACACTTATTCATTTTTGACTCAGGAGCCCGTGACTCGCCTTCCGTTTGGAGAGGATCAACAATGCCGTCCGAAGCATCCGAGTCAGTTATCTACATGTGCAGTTATCTACATGCGCAAACTGACTATGACAAGTCTTGTATACTGAGTGATCAGTATACTGGGATCTTTCCTCGGGAGACCGCTTTACCACAGGTTGAATTGGTTTCAAGAGTTCCAGAGGATTCTTGCTTAGATGAATTTAGCATAAAGGAGACTCATGTCTTCGAGCTACTGCAAGGCATTAATCCCTCAAAAGCTTCCGGTCCTGATTCAATTCATCCGAAGTTGTTGCATGAATTGGCCACTGAGCTGAGTGGTCCGCTCACATGCGTGTTTTCAATATCGCTGGACAGCTGCAGCCTACCTTCGGAATGGAAAGAGGCAATCATCTGTCCGATTTTTAAGGGTGGTGACCGCTCTACTCGCGAACTACCGGTCTGTCAGTTTGACAAGCGTAGTAGTCAAGTTGTTTGAAAAGCTGATAAGGGATTCAGTGGAGAACCACCTGAATAGATTCAACCTTCTCAGTGTTGCGCAACATGGATTCCGCAAAGGATTTTCATGTCAGACTAATCTACTTGTAGCTCGTAAAAGCTGGGCCAAAGCGGTAGACAGTGACCACGCTGTAGACGTGCTATTCGTAAATTTTTCGAACGCTTTTGACACTGTTCCACATCCTCGGCTCTTACTAAAGTTGAGATCTTACGGGATATCTGGTCGCGCCCTTCAATGGGTGTCTGTCTTCCTTGAGGGGGAGGAACAGTGCCTACGGGTGGGGCGTAGCCTTTCGCTCAGGCAAGTTGTCCTTAGTGGCGTTCCGCAGGGCTCGGTGTTGGGGTCATTGTTGTTCGCGACCTATGTAAATGACTTGCCGGGAGAGCTAGGGGTGTCATCATTAATGTCTGCTGACGACCTTAAGCTCTGGAATATTGTGGATATCCCGAGGGGTCCTGAGGTAATTCAGCGTGCCTTGGATAAGCTCTTGGAATGGTCTACTTTATGGTTGATGCCTATAACTAGGGCCAAGTGCTCTGTTCTCCGAATCGGAGCTGCAAATCCTCCCACCCAATATGTTGTCGGCGGTGGTGAACTCCCTGTTGTCACTCAGCGGGTTGATTTAGGAGTCGTACACGCATCATCATTTCATTCTGGAGACAACTGGAAGAAGGCTGCTTGTCGAGGTTTTCGTATGATGTGGTTTATCCACCGCTCTTTCGGAATTTTAACGGCCAATTTGTTTGTGAAGCTATTTTCGGCATTCGTCCAACCCCACCTGGAATATTGCATTCAGGCTTGTCCACCATGTCTTAACCGCGACAAAATTGACTTGGAGAGGGTGTTACGAGTGGGCACTCGGTTAGTGCAGGGTCTACGGGGACAGACGTATCCTGAACGCTTGCTCAGTTTGGGGATGTACTCAGTGCACTACTGAAGGATAAGAGGGGACCTGATTCTCACTTATCGTATTTTGACGGGTAAGATTGGCCCGGACTTGTCAGGGCTATTTAGTCCCGCTACGTTACCTAATCTCCGCGGTCACCCACTGAAACCGCACAAACCACGGTCTGATAGGATTAGGACGGAAACTCGTCTATCGCGCCGAGTTATAGATCGCTGGAATTCGCTTCCAGATCACGTGGTTAGGGAATCTACGGTTAAGGGTTTTCCGCGCCAGCTCGATGCTCTTGGGTGGCAACAGCAAAGTTTTCCTTTTTCCTAGCTGACTCACCTTCACTTTTTAGTTCCTTTTTTTAATGACTCAAATATCTTGGTATTCCACTTGCTAAGCTCCTTTCACTTTCTCTTTTGTCTTCTGAATTTACTTTTTTCCCTTTCTTACTTCACGTAACCGACCCAGCTGGGACTGCTAGGGCAGGATACGTGGGCATTACTTGGTTGGACAGGGTGTGATGCGGTCTTTGTTTTAGGTCCATCAGTATTTTAAAGTTCGCCAACTTCTGGTTTAACAACCTGCCGAAGAAGGAACACTCACGGGACAATCCTATCGTTCCAGTCCCTCTTGAACTTGAACTGGTGCGTCCGCTAGGGTGACTGACTGAAATTACGATCTTTTTTAGATAAAGAACGGAGGTGCTAAAAATGTATGATCTTACTTAACCATATATGGATAGATAAAGCTGTTAATTTTCGTAGTAACTTTTTACCACTGCGATTGACCGAAACCGCTTAAGCAGGACGGCTGACCGTCCATCTGTGCGGAGAGGGCGTTTGATCTTCAAACAACATTCTCTTCTCATGAAGATGAGAGGAGACAGAAAGCAGTAGCAAAAACGACAGCTGGTTCAGAATTTAGGCATTTATAAATAAAAGCGCCATAATCTTATAGACAGGAAGGGTCCTGAAATTAGACTTAGCAGTGAAGTATATGAATGTAAAACCAAAACACTCCATAGGAAACCACTTATCAAATCGCAGTCATAGCTCGATAGAGACAAAGTGCGCATAAAATGTGTCTCTTAAGGTTTTTTGAGACGCGTGCTGTGCGTAGGCGTTATAGGCATATATATCCATTTATACACAAATAACAAGATATGACAAACTATATATTAGCAATATTACAAAGAGGTCGGATAAAAGCAATAATAAAAAGCAAGCCGAGACACGAAACAAAGAAACTGGACCAACCAACCTGAGAGATTTAGGGAAGCACGCGTAACGCTTAAATTTATACGACACTATACATAATTCAAGGTCACAATTTGTAAGTTGGACAAGTTTCAAGTTCATGCTGGAGTTGAACGATAGGATTATCCCGTGAGTGTTCCTTCTTCGGCAGGTCGTTGAACCAGAAGTTGGCGAACTTTGAAATACTGATGGACCTAAAACAAAGACCGCATCACACCCTGTCCAACCAATTAATGCCCACGTATCCTGCCCTAGCAGTCCCAGCTGGGTCGGTTACGTGAAGTAAGAAAGGGAAAAAAGTAAATTCAGAAGACAAAAGAGAAAGTGAAAGGAGCTTAGCAAGTGGAATACCAAGATATTTGAGTCATTAAAAAAGGAACTAAAAAGTGAAGGTGAGTCAGCTAGGAAAAGGAAAACTTTGCTGTTGCCACCCAAGAGCATCGAGCTGGCGCGGAAAACCCTTAACCGTAGATTCACTAACCACGTGATCTGGAAGCGAATTCCAGCGATCCATGACTCGGCGCGACAGACGTGTATCCGTCCTACTCCTGTCAGACCGTGGTTTATGCAGCTTCAGTGGGTGACCGCGGAGATTAGGTAACGTAGCGGGACTAAATAGCCGTGACAAGTCCGGGCCAATCTTACCCGTCAAAATACGATAAGTGAGAATCAGGTCCCCTCTTATCCTTCGGTAGTGCATTGAGTACATCCCCAAACTGAGCAAGCGTTCAGGATACGTCTGTCCCCGTAGACCCTGCACTAACCGAGTGCCCACTCGTAACACCCTCTCCAAGTCCATTTTGTCTCGGTTAAGACATGGTGGACAAGCCTGAATGCAATATTCCAGGTGGGGTTGGACGAATGCCGAAAATAGCTTCACAAACAAATTGGCCGTTAAAATTCCGAAAGAGCGGCGGATAAACCATATCATACGAAAACCTCGACAAGCAGCCTTCTTCCAGTTGTCTCCAGAATGAAATGCTGATGCGTGTACGACTCCTAAATCAACCCGCTGAGTGACAACAGGGAGTTCACCACCGCCGACAACATATTGGGTGGGAGGATTTGCAGCTCCGATTCGGAGAACAGAGCACTTGGCCTTATTTATGGGCATCAACCATAAGTAGAGCATTAACATCACTTATGTATACGATCTCTACATACTTGCGGTAAAATCGGACCCGATTTATCCAGGCTTTTCTAACCTGCTCGGCTTCCATCGCTCCGAGATCACTCGATGAAGCTACACAAACCTCGATCGGATGGAGTCCGGGCGGACTTTCGTTTATCACGCCGAGTGAGAGATTTCTGGAATGCACTGCTTGAGAACATGGTATTGACACCAACTGTGAAAGAGTACGAACACCGACTCGACGCTCTTGGCCTTCACTTCTTAACATTCCCCTTCATGCCTTAGCTTACTCGCCTTATTGAATTATTAAATCTATTACGTTCTGCTTCTTGACGCTCTTATTACTTTCGTACTTCTGTTTCTTATTTCACGTGACCGGTGCGGCGGGGACTGCCAATGCAGGTCGCTTGGGTATTAATTGGTTGAGCGTAGTGTGATTTGCGTGCGCTGATCTGACCCTTCTGGATTCCAGTTATCGCGGACCAATAATACCCTGAATCAACGATACGCCACGGAAGGAACATTCACGGGGATTTATCCTACTGTTTCAGTCCCCCCTTTTACTTGAACTTGAACTAGGTGGCTGATGACTTCATCCAACCGCCTTTGGTATTTGTTTTACCTTGTAGCTCCTCAGATCTGCTACGACGTACCTACGCACTTCTTTTGTATAGGCAGTGGATGCAACACAAACGTTGAAGTACTGGAGACCTTGGTTTGCTTGATGGTACAAGAAACAGGACGCTTGTTAGGTGGGCGACTACTTCGTCCTTGGAATCTGACCATCTTCCCATCAGGGATCCTGTCCTATTGAGATAGGCTCTCGTCTAACGAGCGATCTTTGTGTTGTATCAGCAAGCAATATAGGGCTCCTTATCTGCACTTTGACCTTTGAGTTGCTTTATTTCCTATACATAGGAAATAAGGCAAGAAGAGGATCGCATTATATTTTCATACGTGTGGACTCGCTCCGTTCTTTTTATCTTATTGACTAACTAGTTCTATTTTTTGCTTTTTCTGTTGTTATTTTATAATACTCCGCAATTTTTAGTACTCCTATTGTAGTGCTTCATCTTACTTCAATAACTCTGAACGTAGTATTTCCTTTGTATCTTCGGTTTCTCTGTTGGTCATGGAGTCAACAAACAGTATTATGGCGAGCATAGCTGCAAGGGTGTGGTAGATAAAGTTATTCAGTGTGACAAGGGCTTACTATGGTACCACAATACTTGTTAATGGTTGGACGAGGAGTCGATTTATGTATACTCACTTTACCGTACATTGAAGTGCGTTTGTTTACATTGTGTTTGCTTGGTCGACATTTGCTTGCGTTTACTGAGTGGGGAACTTCTGATTCACCCTCCTTATGTTACTGAGAGGCGAACGGTCTCGGACGAGAAAGATCTGCATGGCAGCATGGCAGACAAGATGATCAAAGAATAGAAATTTGTCATCGAAGTTTTTCGATGAAAAGTTGATGCAACGCACGCACATTTCGAGCGCATTTCTATTGCGCATTGCTATTGGCAAGTAGAGGAATTTGCTTATTTACAACCTGAAAGGGCCGGTGATATGGGAGGCGAAAGATAGGCGTGATTTGGATAGATGTGTACACTGTGTACTACGTATTGTTAGTATCTCTCCTTTCGTTGACATTGAAAGGATCAGTCGAGTTGGTAGTTGGAAAACGTAAGCGCTTTGCACCAGAAGGGCTTTGCATAGCCGATCTTAGTAGGGTTCAAAAACCCGATATATCGGGATATTCTCAATCGAGCGGGTCTATTAGTTACTCGAACTAATGGTCGTTACCAGGTGACCCCAAAAATGCTCACATCAAGCGCCCAATTCACTTCAATAATACCGCCACGCAACGTGCACATCCGCCCCTATGTACCAGTGATCAGACACTTCAATCAAAACCTCGATGTAAGTAATATGCTTTGTGGTGCTCGTGAGGTTCAGTCTCCCTAGGTGAGTGCTTCTACCTCTCCACGAAATGCGGCTACAGTAGAGCTCGGCCTTCTGCAGGCTACTCAAAGGGTTCCTTCTTCGAATGATTCCAATGCTATGTTTAGTGAGTAGTGTGGTCCCGAGCTATCTGCTTACGGGAATTCAGGCTGTAAATAAGCGATCGAGCATGACTGCTGCTGTCAACACAGGGAGAACAGAAGTGAAGTCACCAGGAACTACGATTAATCCGGATACCGGTCATAGGGAAGCGCTCTCCGACGACGTTCCTAAGAGTCAAAAGTCGTCACAATCAGTTGCAACGGAGAGGCCTACTTTTAATAAGGTCAGTATTATGCGCCGGAAGATGTAAAACAACTTGAGACCCGTCACCAAAACAGCCGGAGGTGACGTAAATACCAACTCACACAGCGGTGTACGATCGCAGGTCCAACTTGAAACCCGGGCTACCGATGTTGCACGAGACCCGAAAGCGGGCTGTCTCCTCGAGTTCTGTGCCCGAGCGGAAGGAGACTGCGGTAAGCACCACATACTAATGCTTGTAGCTTTAGAAACATTTGGTGTGAGCTAGCGTTGAGTTGCAGAGGTGTTGACGTGCTTGCGATTACCGGGACCTGACTTTCTTCGAATGATTCAATAAATGATTACCTCCTAACTGAATTCTCGTAATACAGGAAAGACCGTCCGGTGTGCCAAAGTGGAGGTGGGGTGGTTTATCTTACTCATTCTCACTAGTCATTTGGAAGCTCCGTACGCCATATGCATCCCTAGTGTTCATGTCACTTCATGTTTTATGAGATTGGGAGCGAGGGTCGGGTTGATTGTTTGTGTTTACCACAGCCTATCGTCGACACGAGGCAAGGATAAGGAGCTAAGCTAGTTGTGAAAACGAACTGCGCCTTCACCGCCTAGCTTTGTAGTTATTGCTGACTTTAACCTATCACATGCCGACTGGGAGCATGCGATCAACAAGACAGAGTCCTTGGGAGGAAACTTTGTGCAATGTGTGCAAGAACATGTTTTTGAGCAACATGTCAATTTTACAACTAGAAGCTGTGATGGGAATGTTCGCTTTTCCTTAGACGTTGTAGCCACCAAATATGATCGGTCAGCCATTACCACGGGAGCTCCCACGTGGTACGACCGTTTGCATGTCTCTTTAACTCATTGAGCGATACTGGATGGTCCCTCAGGGCCGCTTGAGAGCTACTTCTACGATGTTGGTCAATAATTGGGGGTCAGACAAACTCAGGATGGGGTATGAAATGTGGTGACGTCCATTTCTGTAAAACTAAATCATTATCATCTCGCTGCCTTGCCAACAGGTTTTTAAGCGAAAGGTTTTGGTTGGGGACCTTAATTCTCTTCTTGTCATTGTATGGGGGCACTGGCAGCATCTCAGCCAACACGAACATAACAGTTTATCCAAACTCTAACTACATCCTGCATAGATCGTTTCGCAAGTTAACACGAGCCGCCTTGTCTGCTGCTTACAGTAGGGCGTATAAGGGAAAACATTCTACTGCTGGCGCCCCCTTTCTTTTCCACCTGTTTCTCTTACTTCCATCCCGACCCCTATTACTAAACTTCCTTTTATAATTCCCAGCTTAATTGACTGCAATCGAAGTGACACTGAAGTTACAGAATCTGCTGACACCTTCCCACAACCCCCACCGGACGCCTATCGGCAAACGTCACGTTGTCCCGTTTCCCTGGCGGCGTTCAACATTCACACTCTAAGACAAATGGGTCAACCTGCTGCATTCGCACGCACATTGGACACACTGAGTATTAACATATGTTGTGTGTCCGAAACTAGATCGATGACCCTAACGTGGTTGTTGGACTTACTGCAGCCGGCTTATCCTCTCGTTATTGCTTGCACACATCCGGTTCCGCTGATGCAGCACTCACGGGTCAAGCTGGTGTAGGTATCATTCTAAGCTCGAAAGCGGAACCATCATTGGTTGATTGGA